AAACACAGGGTATTACATTTTGTATTTTAAAACAGGCAAAAGCTGACAGTAAGAGGATGCCTACAGCTGCTTTTATGGGTTTGACTCATGGCCTAAGTTTTCTCTATGGGTGGTGTGTTAATGCCTCTCTTGAAGCATATTAGCTTACACTCTACTACCATAAACCAAAAAGGTTGTGTTTTAAGTAAGAGCCAGCCTCTTTCCATTGGCACCAGGAGGTATTTGGATTTTTATAAAGTACTCTTAAATAGTGTTAATATTTTATCAGTTTCTTCTTAATGTCTTGTGTATTTAGTTTAATTGTGTTGGTTTTGTTTGTTTGTTGGGGTTTTTTTGTTTGATTTTTTTCCCTAACCTTGGGGTTTTTTTTAATTCACTCACCATAGAGCTGATAAAGCAGATGATGAGGATGACGAAGATCTAATGGTGAATAAAACATGGGTCCTTGCACCAAAGATTCATGGTGGGGATGTAACACACATACTGGACTCCTTACTTCAAGGATATGACAATAAGCTGCGGCCAGATATTGGGGGTAAGTTCATAAAATAATACAGTACAGAAGATGTGAACCAGAGATGGTGTGCATTTTGTCAAAGATGGCAAAAATCCGCTTAATGCAATTTTAAAAATTTAATATATCACGCTAAATATAGCAGCAATAAAATGCAATGGTTTTCAGGAACTGGTAAAAATCATGTTCTATGCAAGAGTAGATTTTCTAATCTTGTTTTGTTATTTAAGTATTGCTTTTTGGGGACAGTGAGCAATAAATCATTAAAAGGCAATTGAAATTTGCCTTGTTTAATGAAGATCTTCTGATGGAAAGAATCATAGATATAAACCAGTCATGGTCATGAAAAAAATTGATCTCGAGTCTGTAGAGTTTACTAAAGAATAGATATTTTTACTAGGTATTTTTACTCTTACTGTAGAAAATGCATTCTAAGCATGTATTTTGAGCAGATTTAAGTCAACCCAGTTCTCTTCTTCCTTTCACTTAGATTTTGAAAAGCTTCAAAAAAATCTAAAAACATGATTTAGTACTCTAGCTTTTCTACAGGAATATAGGAAGGAATTTGCATTCGTATAGATCAAACTCTTCAGCTAGTAGGAAGGCCATTTTGTCTTTCAATAGTCAAAGCATCAATTAGCATGTATTGAGTGTCAGTATTTGGAAGACTCTTGTATTGAAAACATGGAATACATGAAAGCTTGCCAGCTCATGTCTGTCATATGCATGCTATACCAAACTAAGAAAAATAATTTATACAATCAGAGTTTGTTTCCTGAAATGTGAAGGGAGAGGTGGAGGTCATAATTATTTCTTAAATACTTGCATTTGTCTATCAAAGGAATGTCATGTAAGTCTGTAAGCTGCTTACATGGCAAACAATACAACAATCTAGACTTGTTTCATTTATGTAGAACAGAGGGATGCAATCTCTAAGTAAATATTTTTTTAAATGTTCTGACAAATTGTTTTATTCCCCAAATTTCTTAGTTTTGTTTGAACATTGAGTGTTACCCTGAAGACACTGAATGGCAGTTTTTCTCTCGTTGTCATAAGATAACCACATATGAATCTCATGAAGTTTGTTGTAAGACTTTGCTTTCACCTTTATTTAATTGAATTACAGCAAACATTTAGACAGCAAGTAAGTTATTTCAGGATATTTTTCCTTAAAATCTCAACATGTGATAGATGTATAGCACTATTTTTTTTAATTATTATTATTATTTACACACACACACACATACACACACACACCCATTGCTTAAGGCAACAGGCAGCAAAGGGATTATAAGGGAATAAGCTGTCTCCACTAGGATTCCTTCTAATGATTAGCTGGTAGGTGGGGATGACAGGTAAGAGAATTATGTTTTCTTCTCTCCCCATAAAACTTAGAAATAAATGGAGAGAAAACAGAGGAAGAGGAGTTTATTCTGACATGTCAGATTTAGATGGGCACAAAGAATTTTGGTGTAATCCTTAACTTTCAGTTTTCTGGTTATATACTGAATCTTGGTAGGGCAAGAACTGTGCCTTGTTGTGAGTAACTATGTACTTTTTGGATTCCAAATACCAGTTCCCAAAAGAAGACACTTGATTCTAACTTATTTTACATAAGTGCTTACTTTCTTTACTGTCTTGATGCAATACACCTGTACCAATCTGAGCTTTGCTATCTGGGACCTGCCTCCATCCAATATATTAAAACATAAGGTTTATGAATAATCAGCCATAATACTGAGAATAGGGAGACATTTGGAAGTATTCACTTTATTGCCAGGAGGACAAATGTTGTGACTGAATCTTCTCTGGATAGATGGAAGTTGCAGACTTCTGCCACAAAGCAGAAATTTTGGACGACATAAGATGGAATTTCCAACTTTGGGTGAAAGCACTGCATTCTGTCCAGCTGCTTCGGAACTGCAGCAGGCATTTAACAACTAGAAAAACAAAATCAGGGTATAGTGCATTCATTTTGGTCTGCTTCAATTATGTGGATTAAATCTGGTGTCAGATTCCACATCTTTAGAGTATATGTCAGTACGTGAACAACAAAGTTATTGAACTGGAATTCTAATTAACTTTCAAAGCAATAATATCCCACAGAACATTTTTACTATTGAATTACAAAGTTCAGTTACGATAGCAACATATTTTGTTTTGAACTTGGACCTTTTAGGTTTGCATAACAGAGCATAATTTTGTTTTCTTCCTGATGTTGACACAGAATCTCAGCATCTCGGAGGAAGATGAGGGGTTTCATTGTTAAACATGCAGTTAGTTAAGGGAGGTGATAAAGGAGAGCCAAATGAAAGTTGAAATGGCAGAGGCAATACTGAAATTTAATAGGAAAAAAGCACACACAGTCATTTTCTCTTTGTTTTATTCAAATATCCATGAGCTGTAGTGATTTCTTAACTGCTACTCTTTGCTGTGTTTACTAATCTTACGAATTTTTAACTCAATTTATATAATATACTTTGAGGTGTTTGGAGTATAAAGAAACTAGCATTAGTTTATCTTTTACTCAGTATGAAGTAGTGGTAGTTACCAGTTGAAGTCTCTTATCTGAAGTATAAATCCCTTTAATTACAGATACAAACTTGGAGTGTTGATATATTAATAAAGCAGTATTATTCTGCCTGTAATGTTACCTTTTGGCTAATGGATTTTATAACCATGCTGTTTTATCTTCATACCTGCATCTAACCAGATGTTATTTTTCAACTTTCCTTCAACTGGGTGAAACACAACTGATCAATCTGGAAGTTTAGTTTAAAATAGGGAATAATAGTCCCATATCTGCAGCTCTAGTAGGGTGTTTTCAATGAACACTGAGGAAAGTCATAGTCGATTTATTTATTTATTTATTTATTTTTCTATTTTTTTTTATTTATTTAAGAATGGTGAGAATGATTGCTCTTGTAAATAGAGAAACTGGATACCTAGAGAAATTTGGATACTTGTACTTGCCCTATACGTAGGGTGCAGGTAAGTAATTGCATCTCAGCACACTAATGTGAAAAGTCATGTACTCAGGGATATAAAGGATATCTGAATAAAAAGTGGGTTTGAAGAGACTAATGGAAACACTCATTCTGAGAAGATAAGGATATTAGGGAGGTATTCTGTTGATCAGGTACTCCTAGTGTAGCACTGATAAAATTAAGATATAGGCAGGAAAGGAATAAGCCAAAATAAGCAGGAATATATCAAGTAAAAGTAGAAGGGTATGTATTCTGACATGAAGCATATGTTGTAAGAATTCTAGGAAATTAAAATACAAGACCAAGATGTAGAAGAGCATATGCAGTGAATGCTAGAGGTACTGGATGGATGTGGAAATGATGGAAATAATAAAAATGGTGGGGCAGGTGTATTTATTAAAGATGGATTTATTTTAAATAAAATGGTAAAAGACTAAGAGTGGAGAACAGGGCTCTGCTTTCACCAAAATCACCCTGAAAAAATATTTCAGAGATGGAGCTGGAAGCCTCCAGTAGACTCTTGAGGTTGACTTTTGAATATAGATAGCCATATAAATAAGATAACTCTTAGATGACTGCATGTGAGGACTGCATTATTCCATTAAAAACTCTTACAAATGTAAAGCCTTTATTATTTCTGAATGTGGTAGTCACCTCATTTATTTGGTGAATAACTGCTTTATCACCAAGAAGAGGTGCTTCTTTTTTAGAGTTAGTGTGGAGCTATAGAAAACATGTTCAAGGAAAATAAGCCTGGATGAAAGTAGTAAACATTTTAAAAAACACAGGTTTTTAAGCTGGAACAGGTTCAGAGTATGCCTGTGTATTGGGCTTGGATGGCAAGGTATTGATAGGGGAAGGGAGCCAACAGGGATGGTTTTTGTGAGAGGTTGCTAGAAGCTTCCCCTATGTCAGATACAAATATTTAAAGTGGGCAAGCCCTTTCTTCCTTGCTATAGAAGTTCCCATAAATTTACAGTGCTGTTTTGCACTTCATGCAGGATGTATTTAATAGCCTTCTTCCTACTTATAGTTTTTTCAAGGCTGATACCAAATTTTAAAAGTAAAATCAGAAGCATTCACAGTTCAAAAAATCTTCTCAAACTGTCTTTCAATTTTAGCTCTTTGCAGAGTAAATTAGCAGTATTAATTTTATGGCTTTCAAATTAGTATCGAGAATATGTTTTCCTCCAGTGTTTGTAATGTTCATGGACTTCTATAATTTCTAGTTCAAAATCACAGGAAGAATGAATTCTTTCTTCTTCCTCACAGAAGTACGTAGCTCTGTACCACAGAGAAGAACTAGCTAGCAAAACAGGCTCTTCCAGTCTTCCCAAATTGGATCTCTTTCTCTCAATCATTTGGGTCAATTAAAATAATTTCAACAGAAGCAGATTTTCAGACTCTTCACTAGCTCTTAATAGCTCTAATAATCTTACTCAGAGCAGTATGGAAAAGGCAAATTGAACTCTGTAGCACATTAGTGGAGAGCCCTTGTGGCAGATCAAGTACTGCTCACTGCAAGCTGGAATTCCATAAAATTGACACGGCCCCCATTAAAAACTGGCTCACTGACAGACCTCAAAATGTTGCCATTAACAAGGAAATGTCAGTCGCTGGGCTGTCTACAGTGGGGTCTCATAGGAAAGTCTTTGTCAAGAATAATGATGTTTTGAATTTTTTCAGCAATTAATTTTTGTTGTAAAGTTGGCAGGTGACACAAAGGCTGTTGGGAAGGGAGAGGCTATATCTGTAGAGTAACCAGCTCCTTCAGTAAAACTGGAGATAAATAATTGAGAGGGGGAAAAAAAAGTAGTTGAGGGGAGGAAGACCGTGGGTCATATTTCAAGGTGAAAGATAACGTAGTTTAGGGGAAAATGTAGATATTTGTGTAGTACAAGATCTTAGCTATGCATCCCCTGAGCATTGTCCTGAGAAAAGTCTGCTTTTGAAAAGGAACACAGAAACCTGGTGTCACAGTTTGACACCTGGGAATGTTCAAGCAGCACTGATAACACTGTTACAAAAACTTCTAGTTCTGGTGTCCAATTTCAAAATGGATCTGGAAACAATGGAGCAAGTTTAGCAGTTAAAGTTGAACAGATTATCTGTAGATTGCGTTTGCACTATTGGCATGAGCTGTCCAGCATACTGAAGACAAGTTTCAGATGTGACCTTAAATACTTACATACTGGTGTCCAAAGAAGAGATTGATATATGGCTGGGCAGTGCTGAAAGCTGGAGTCTGAGACTTGAACCTCAAAACAAAACTAGATTTCTGAACACTTAGGAGAATTAAATATTTCCTACTCATATGGTGGGTTCAGCATTGCTAGAACAATGAGGCAAGATACACTTTGAATCATCTTCTTCTGTTCCAGTCCAGCAGTGGAATTGATGTTATATAGATAAAGAGGACTGCAAAATGAAAACGAAGAAGATAATGTGTTTGCAAGATGTAGCATATGTGAAATATGATATATTGTACATATATGTGTACACACACGTATGATATACATTTTTTACTGTTTTTTCAGTCTGTGGATACGAGTTTTTGTGTTGCCTTTCTTTATGAGGCTTGTAGATATTGAAAATATTTGCAGCTCAGAAAGTTGTGGGGTGTTTTCTTTTGTGGGTTCTCACCCTCCTGAAATAAATTGGGTTTCCAGAGTATTTTTAAGCTTTCTGTGAAGCATGCTGGGGAAAGGGTAGTGATCCAGTGACTGTACTCTGTGGTTGTACACAAAATCCTTTGTTCAGCTTCACTGGTGTGTCAGGCTCAGGGTCACACCAGTAATCGGATTTGGAATCAAGGAGAATTTCCTCCCAAGTGAGATTGGCAGGTAAAAGGTATTTAGGATATTTAGGAAACATATCTTGCCTGTCATTGTAGCTGGCAAGGATGATACCATGTTTTTTCCTGTCTCAGAGTTTTAGTTTTTTGAAATTTAAAAAATGCTCTTTCCTAAGATTTTAGGTTTGTTAGAGAGCACTTGGGCAATCTCCGATAGTTTTCAGTGTAAAGAAAGAAATTCTCATGACCTAGAGTCCATCTCCTATGAAACTGAAGTGCCTTTTCCATCTGCGTATGGGCAGAGATACTTAATTTTAATGTGCCAGATCATGAAAGAAACACCATCAGAACGTTATTATTTACTATTGCCCTTCCTTTCACTGGGAACTAGGATTTGTGTTCATGTTCTGGTTTTCCGGTACAAGCTATAAGGAAATACTTGCTAAATTGAAGTTAAAATGCATCCTGACCTCTTCTGCTTGTGATTTTTCCCCCTATGAACCAGTAGAGAGGAAAAAAGCGGAATTATCAGTTCCACCTGTACTTCAGATGTGACTTTCATGGGAAGTCACTTAGACTCTGTGCCCTTCTGTAAGTTCACAAAGAGAGCATATTCCCTAAGAGAATATATTTTTTGAACAGTCTTTTTTTGTCTGCCCAGTGAGAGTGGTTTCCCTGTGTTTTTAAAGAACAATAAGTATGTGAATTTTTAACTTTTAAATTACTTTCACTTGAGGATCTTTCAATTTGGTGTTTGAAGCAGTGTAGTAATCAAGCTGATAAAAGGACATTAACAATCCCTAAGTGTGTTATAGTTGCATGAATTGAAGAAATCTGTGGTGAAAAGTTACTTTCATTACACATTTTCAGTAGGAATTTACAGAAGGCACTGCATATTGGTTCCTTAGAGCTCATAAACACCTCTGCTTCCAGACCTTGTGGTTTGTTGTATGAGCAATTTTTTCCAAATATTTTTTTTTCTGCTTATGGTTAGATTTTTTTTTTTTGAAAGACAAGTTTGTGTCTACTCACCTCTTCTGTTACCTTTTATACCTTTCATATGTATCTTATATCTGTTCGCAAAGAACAGATGGGGTTGCATTATGAAGTAAAAAATTCGTGTTTATAATTCTAACAATTTGTATGGAATAAGGGAGCCAAGTCATATGTGATCATTTACAAAATGAACAAACCAGAGATTTAAGTATCCTGAATCTATTAAAGAGTCTCAGATTTGTTGTTGTTTTATTAAAATGGTTAAATTACACTAATAATATACGGAGTTAATTAAACATGTAATTATTATGGTTACTGTTTTATTTAGTGAGAACTACGGTAATTGAAACAGATGTCTATGTTAACAGCATTGGCCCAGTTGACCCAATCAATATGGTAAGTTCTGATTATTGACAGAAAACATTATCTGAATGATGCTATGGGTTAATATTACAAAATAATTCTGATCTCATTCAAATACATTTCTTTATTTCTTGCTGTGTGTTCTTACACTGTTCAGTATGATTGTGATTATTGCAGAGACATGTTTAGACTCTATTTGAAATTGTTGTTATTTAAGAAATATCTATCTTCTTAAATAAAAATGAGGCCACACAGAGGGCACTGTATCAGGTCCTTATTTTGGTGTATGTTGAACATTTTCACTATGTCTATACCCGGTTTATTTCTGGCCCATTGTAATTTCCTGGGGCTACTCTTAAGAGGTTAAGAAAAACAACAATTGACCCAGCGTTTGCATATAAACCTATTTTCAGTGCAGTGGTTTATTATCATTTTTCAAATTCATAGAAAGAAAATAAATTAAATTAACTCTCTTTTCCTCCTTTTTCCATGTCTTATTTAGTCTTATGGGTCCTCTTCACTGTGTGTATGTGTGTGTACACATAGCTGGTTTCTTCAGAAGTTAAGCAGTATGTCTCATCTGGTGTCTGGTAGACCTGTTGAGATGTCTTTGGTACCAACGCTGAAGTAACAGCACTTATGAGGAAGTTGAGTCTGTCACCTTTTCTTAAATCACTTTGATTTTTTGGTCATGATGAGCATTGTATGAAATGGTGGTGCTGGAGACTTTACAAAGGCCTTGTTGCATGACTTCTCCTGGGGACCACTACCCAGGACTAGGACTGGGACTGCCCATCGGGTGAGTTTGAGGTCAGCCCCCTCATGCCTTTTTCCTTTTCCTCCTCCCTACAGAATTATTGGCAGTGTTGAATTTGCATGGCAGAGAAGCATTTTGTTCAATCTGAAGCTGGAGTATGCCAGTGCAGGGGGCCTCTGAGCATTTGGTGATAGCACAGGCATTTTAGATCATTAAGGATCTTGCGGTTTACATGTATGTCAGCATGCTTGGGTGGGGGATATCGACTTTCAGTTATGAGCATCTAGGCAAGAAATGACACTACAAATAGAGTAATAAAATCATAGAATGGTTTGGATCAGAAGGGATCTTAAAGATCATCTAGTTTCAACCTTCCTGCCATGGACAGAGACAGCTCCCACTAGCCCAGGTTGCTCAAAGCCCCATCCAACCTGGCCCTGAACATTTCCAAGGAGGGAGCATCTACATCTTCCCTGGGCAACCTATTCCAGTGTCTTACCACCCTCACAAAACAAACAAGCAAAAAAAAAGGAACTGACCAAAATAAACCAACCAATCAACAAAAAACTATATATCTCTATTTAAATATATAGATAAATATGTAGATATATCCATAATACTATAGATACTATGAATAAGGGTGCCAAAAGTAGATTATGTGTATCTGTAGCAAAGGGTATTCATTCCAGCACAATTGTCTAACAAGCTTAGAGGTTGTCATTACCTGGGGCTATCACTGGGAAGTCTATGTCTCAGGCTGGGGCTGTATGTAACACATGAAAGAAGAGAAGAGTGGTGGGGTGGGGGAAATTTTCCAGTTTTCAGGTTTGGTATAAGTTGTGTCTTTGGTTTTGTCTGTCTTCTTACTGCGGTCTTTCTCATTTGCTTCTCTCCACCCTATCCTCTTCTGAAGGAACTACTTGTGGGAGTAAAATGTGTGGACAAGCAGCTACCTGTAAGGAGGATATAGAAAATGGTAGTGGCTTCCTTTTGCAGTTTCAGCCTATGGCCAGTAGGTATTGCATACACTGAAACTGAAAATGAGAAGTACTTACAGCTTTAGTTTTCCAGTTTTAAAGAACCAGCATGGGGCCAGCTTTGCAGGGCAGCCCTCCTGTGCCCCCAGCTGCCTTCTGCTTGCTCAGCCCAGAGCCTGGGAGGCAGTGTTGTCATGCACCACACTTGCAGTAATGATGGTGTCAGCCATGGGACTCGTTTAGAGGTCTGCCCACATCTGCTAGACCTGTCCTAGAGCTGGGTGGTGATGCTCTTGCCATGGCACTCATAAAAACCAGTCATACTGGCTTTTTGTGCGAGGTAAGGATAGCACCGGATTGAAAAGGTGTATTACAGAATCACAAAATCCTAGGGGTTGGTAAGGACGTCAAAAGATCATCTAGTCCAACCCCCCTGCCAGAGCAGGGACACCCCGAGCACATCACACAGGAACGTGTCCAGGTGGGTTTTGAATATCTCCAGTGAAGGAGACTCCACAACCTCTCTGGGTAGCCTGTTGCAGTGCTCTGTCACTCTCACAGGAAAGAAGTTCTTCCTGATATTCACATGGAACCTCCTATGCTCCAGTTTGCATCCATTGCCCTTTGTCCTATCACTGGTTATCACTGAAAAAAAAAAAGAGAGAAAAATGAAGCATGCCACCGAAGGTAATAAGCTGAATGTCATTAGGACATACAACTTCTAAAAACTTTTTTTTTTTTTTTTTTTTTTTTTTTTAAATGAGCAGATAACTACTTAGCAATTTAAATTATAGTGTAAGGGCACAATGACCTTCATAAAAAAGCAACTGCTTTCACTAAATTTGGACCCCAGGAACCTGGATCATACGAGCATCTGACATCATAACAAAAATCAAATGTTGGTGAAAAAAAATAAAACCATATACATGAAAATTATTTGATTGAGGCTTCCAAAGAAGATGTTTTTAATCTCCAAAACAACATTCTCAGCAAAAAAAATAATTACAGATTTGACCCGGTAAGCTTTCTTTATGTGAGCTGTTTGTTTCATTGGGAAGGCACTTTCCCTGGAGTCAATATTATTTGAGATTGCTAACCATTAATGCAAAAATTGCTTCATTTTCATGAGCTGTCCTTAGCCCTTCATTTGATCACTTAATGTGAGAACACATATCTGTGATTCCTCACTGGATTACTCATTTGCCAGATAGGTTAATTCACTCTAGCAAATTATGTCCTTTAACTATTTAGTCTGGATAATGTATGGTGTGATGCAGAGAGCATTTTTTCTAACAACGATGCTGAAGCAGCATATGAAGGAAGTATGTTTGCCTAAAAGGAAACATGAGAGGAAACATATTTTTATAATTCAGTCTGTTTTCATCTTGCTATCTGATAGACTTTCATAAAAGGGACACTTCAGGTGTATGTATGACATTCACTAGAATTTGGTTTTGAAGGCTGCTGTGTTTTGACTTTCACTATTTAACTAAGATCTACACAAAATTCTAGATGGTATAGACACCCCGTGTTTTAGAGTTTTTCTGCAGCACGCGATCTCTTTAGGCATCCACAACCCTAGTAAAGATTTTTAACAAGCATCTGGATCAGCAGAGTATTTAAGTTTCTAATACTCATTAAGTCTAAAGATTTTTGGATCTGTCTTTTACAGCTAACTTGTGCTATGCTGTGTGCAACGATAATGTAAAATGCAGCTAAGTGCATTTTTATGGCCGAAGTCTTGATCCTCAATAACTCTGCAGTAGTCTAGGGGTTTCTTAGAAGAATTTAGACATGCAATGAATAATCAGAGCCTGGTTTTCCTCTGTGTGGAAGCTCTTTCAATTAGGCATTTAACATAGATGTGCTAGGCTCTTATTATCTTTCTTTTTCCTTCCAAACTAGGGCCAAGGTAAAAAAAAAAAAATCCACTCTTTTTGGTGATACAAGTAGCAGAGTCTATTACATGGTTCCTGTATGGAAATGCATGTTGATCCATGTTGCCTGTGGGCCTCATTATCTTTCTCTGGCCTGTATTAATCCCCCAAACCCTAGGTGTTTGTAAATATGTAATGTTTTGTTCTACTGGTGTCCTAAGGGATCCAGGGGAGAACTATGGCAGTGCCACAGCCTTTGTGGTTTGAAAAGACCATTGGAGTGTCCAATTCAGTGAGCTGGGAGAGGCATGGCAGCCCTTCAAGACATTTTTTACCTTTGTTTAAGTAAGAGAATACCTCATACTGTAATTCTTTTTGATCACAACTCTCATAACAATAAAAGACTGCTACCCCAAATAAGATACATTTTTGGAGAAGGAATTCTGCAAGTAAGAAGCAATATTGCATCTTTACATAAAAAATGAAGAGCAAAGAGAAAAGTTTATACTTTCCCTGTACTAGTATCTGTTTTATCAAGTTTCATATAGTAAATAGTGGAGCAATAGTCAAGTAACAAAAATAGGGAGGGAGTTAGAAAGAGGCAGATCATTTCTGTAGAGATGCATAGACATCATGACTGATAGAGAGACTGAAAATCAGCCAAAAGAAAATTCTCTAGCTGTCTGTCTAGATGTTTGTGTAAGTGTATACATACATCAATATATATGTTTACAGAAAGAAAGTTATGTTTTAAAATTCCTTTGCTTTTTCATGTATTTTGAAGTAATTTAATTAAGAAATTGTTAATTCAAAACAATTGTTAATTAAAAATTAATATTTTGAAACATTGTGTTAGCATTGCCAAATTAGTGTGTTTGGGGGCTACATATGATTTTCTTCCCTTGCTGCTGATGCAGATGATGGTCTCTATTCAGCTTTTTTATTTATTACTGGAACTAAGTATTAGAAGATCCAGGTTGAAAATTCCAGGATAAATTTCTAGGACTGCACTTCACTGAAGCAGTTCAATTTCCTCATTATCTTCCAACATTTCTGTCTCTTCTGCAGATGATTTAGCTTTTATCACATGATCTTTTCTTGTTATCTATTGAAGGTTACTGTGACCACAAGCTGAAAGCCATACTTTGAAGCCTAGTGCTCTTATTTTTAATAAGATAGCTAAACCACTGAGCTAAACAGATATTCACAGAATGTGTAATGTACTACTTGGGTACACAGACTGCATGGCCTGGACACTATTAGGATGCAGTTTTTCCTGTCAAATTGTACTATTTATGACTTTGTGTAGAATGTGCTGGTACTGAATTTTAACTATCCTTTGGCTTCTAAATTTCATTTCATTCTGAAGTTGCAGTAACTAGCAGCAGATTTTTTTTAGGTAGTCAAGTATCAATGTGTTCA